GGTAGCCTAGTTGTTAATGCGTTCGCTCGCCACGCCGAAGACCCGGGTTCGATTCCCGACATGGGTACAATGTGTGAAGCCCATTTCTGGTGTCCCCTACCGTGATATTGCTGGAATATTGCTAAAAGCGGCGTTAAACCATACTCACTCACTCTAACTTGCTTCAAAAACTTTCCACACAGTGTTTGACCAGTCCAGTGTCACTAGAACATCTCTGAATATTCCACATGTTTCTTTTACGATTGACATTTATCCATGCTACTCAGATAACAGATAATTTGAGCATCTAAATATAACAACTTCCTCACAAGTGCTTACATTACCACTTATCACTGTTTAAAAACCATGCAATGAACTTCTACTGAATCTCAACAGAAACAATGTAATGCAGTTTCAATCATTGTTTAACAACCAATTGCTTTGCCATATGAAACTCTCCCCCCTCGGAGAAAGACAGTTTGAACATTGTGATGAAAGTACAAAAACTGCCGAGTATAGTAAATAATAGTAAACATTATATATGCTTTATAAGAAATGTTTACAAAAATGCAAATCATGTTTGCAGTCAGACCTGATCACATTCAACTAACTCGAGAGAATGAAAGAGCAATAACGTTGTCTTTGCATTTGATATGCTTGATGTCTAAATCACATTCTTGCAAAGACCGACACCAGCACAATAAGTGTCAGTTTTTTCTTCATTTTATGAAGAAACGTCAGTGGATTGTGATAAGTGTATACTTGATTAGGAAACAAAGTAGTACCGAAGTACAGTTTAAAATGCTGCACATCTAACAATAGAGCGAGAGTTTCTTTTTCAATGGTGGAATAATTTCTCTGGTGTTTGTCAAATATGAGGGAATAATAACAAAGAGGGTGATCAAAGCCTGATGTATTTTCCTGCAAGGGGACTGCTCTGGCACCAAAGTCACTAGCATCTACTGCCAATTTGAACGTTTGGTGCTTGAAGAACAAGAGTTTCATGAGAATGGCTTTAATGGTCCCAAAACTTCCGAATTGTTGAGCTTAGGGCTAACAAAGTCCGCATTGCCATCATCTTGACTAAGTCACAATTTTCATCACAATCTGATACAATATTCACAGGAGAAAAACTGGCAACACACAGAGTAGGTACATTGTCATTTCTGTTATGATACCCATTATCTTATTGACATGTGTCTTTTTGCGACGGCCTGGTGTTTGTACAACATAGTCAGTATCACTGACTTTTATGTCATCCTTAGCAACTTCACAAGCTTTTGAAAGCCTAGCCTATGACCAAGCTAATGCTCCTTCAAGTGCTTTAAAGGTCAAAAAGGACTAAAACCAAGGGACTCCTGAACCGACTCCCTCACAGCAAACAACAACAAACAGATGCCGTTATCCCAATCCTTCTCAGTCTCAAAACAGTAAGTCCTTATCATATTCTTAAGCGTCTGATGGAACCTCTCTAAAGCTCCTTGATAATCAGGATGATATGCACCAGACTTTATCTGAGTTATGCCAAACTGACCCATAGCCTGTTGGAAAACACCTGCCAAGAAGTTAGAGCCCTGATCTGACAGAATAGTCCTAGGCAAACCAACCATGGTGAAGAACTTTACCAAAGCCTTGATAAAACCTGAGCTAAACTTTTCAGAATAGCAATGTTGAAGCACATATGTTAGTAAGCATGAACTGATTTCCTGACTTAGCTTTATGCAAAGGACCAACACAATGATTGATGACCCTGCTGAATCTTTCAAAAGCTGGAATGGGTTTCAAAAGTACGGCTGGGATTTTCTTATTAGGTTTACCAACCATTTGACACACATGCCATACAGTTACAGTTGCAATCATTGTCTAACAATAAATTACACTACCATATAACAATAGTCAAGTACAACCAACAAATACGCAAACTAATTAGAAAATGTCTTCGTAAAAGGTGACCGATTGGTATATATTGCAGGAGAACATACACAGACTAAGCAGACGGCAATAAAACCGATCGCTCAAACGCATCCCAGTAACGGCCATGGTAACTCGATGCACGTCAGTTCCGTGTAAATTGAAATGCACATGCGTTCCCCCATTGCTTGCCCTATAAAAATACACCCAGATCGGATAACATTCATTCGTTATTGAATTGCTGCCACATGCCAAGATTGACAAGAAATCAGCGACACCAAGCCCTTGGACGATTGCAAGCTGGACAAACGCCCGGCAAGTAGCCAATGCATTTCAAGTCCACGTAAGCACCATATACAAGCTCCAGCAACGGTACCAGACCACCAACACTACAGATGACCAAGGGCCATCATCCGACGTCAGGATCGTCAGATTGTGCGACAGCATCTTCAAGATCGCTTTGTTACTGCTGTGGAAACAGGCGATGATAACGCCCTCGTCCACACTGCGAGAGCAACAAGAGACTTCCTCCAGCAGAATTGCATCAGAACTGGGCCTACAGTGGCCTGCCCTCAGTCCCGATTTAAATTCCATTGAGCACGTATGGGACGAGATTCAATTGACTCGGGATTCCCCTTTTGCATTTGCATGCACTTTTACCTAAAACCTTATATGGCCATCTGCGTAATATTATACTGTAGTCGACTATCTTCAGTTATTGTTAAACGATTGTTTGTCTCATTCTGAAATGAGAGAGTCTATTCTATGGATATCTGGGCTGCCACCCAAACCGATCAAAGCAGTGATGCCAACGTTAATTGTATGCTATATGTATAGAGGTTATCACGCGAGTGTGTTTGGGGATGGTAAATATCCTGCATTAAGAATAAACATTGTATTTAGCGAGCCTTGGCGAGCTAAATACATAGTGTTTATTCCTAATACAGGATATTTACCATCCCCAAACACACAAGCGTGATAACCTCTTTATCATATAATGTCATGTTATAATTCTGTGCTTTAAAATCGCTATCCCTCGCGCATTAATATTTATTACGTCACAGGGTAAGTGATGTGTCAGTCGGACAGTGACAGTAGCCAATATAGTTCCAACTGAAATCTGTTTCTTATATAGTGGCGAAGCAACATATACGCAAAACAACAGTTGTTTTTAATTGCCTTTCGCGGCAATCCATCGGTCTGTCCGCTAGAGTAACTGCCCTTTGTCAAAGGGAAGCTGCTCTAACCCTAGTCTATGAGACGTCACGGGCACGGTCAGGCGTTGTTGACAGTCGGTCTGTCCTGTCATAACGTTAAGAAGTGTAGTCAGATGTACACACAGCGACAAAACCAAACGAGGTAACAATTCAAACATATTTCGGCCAAATCCAACTATTTTAATTTGTGGAGAAGGTTTCAAGTCGCAGAGGTCTACAAGCACAGATATGGCTACTGATCCCGCTTGGCTAGGCCTCGCGCCCTCGCAAAATTGTTTCGAAATTTATGCCTCCAAAGTAGCCAAAACTTATCAAATGCCTTAGCTACGTCACAGTTAGACACTGATTTTCAGTATATTAGACTGTTCTTTTGATAATGATAGCAATTATCCCTGTTGTTTATCCAGATTCCCGATGGTTAATTTTGACTCGATCGCCGAATGACGAGGACGACGCCATGTTTGTTTATAAACAGTGAAAGTAGTCCTACTTGACCTTTGATATTTGCATCTCTATCCGCATATGACCCCAACGGATATCGTTTTTATCCGTTGGCTTTAACCTGCCGAGAAACCTGCCCATTATATGATAAATGCTATTATATGGTAGTGGCATAGATTGAGTCATCTTCATTTTTAGTGGCTGAGATTATTTCTTCTTCATAAAAGAGAGTTGTGTGGTTTTGTTTTACATCACATTGCAAATTCAACATAAGGACTGAAAGTTACATTTTCTCATTGTTCACCACAGATGTAGGTGATTTTAAACAGGAACAATGAAAACAGCAGTCTAATGAATGATGTATATATACCATTTTTTACAACACCAAGTGTAGCAAAAGTCAAGTGTGCAAGTTTCTTCAGATTGACAGAAAACTGGTCAACTTGATCTGCTTGTCTTCACAACTGCTGGAGGGATGTACTTTTCATTATTAAGGAATTACCGGAATTACTCAGATTGTGGATGATGGACATAAATGACATAACTTTTTAAGTAAACTAACGAAGAAACGTTACCAAACTGATATTTGGACACACTAGTTTTATCAAATGGTTGATTAATCGCCCAAACACAACTATAACAATTTGCTGAGTAATGAACGTACCCAGATGATAGAACTTCAGTTTGAAGTGAAACTTTGGCGGCAGTAACATCATGCCGACCTACAAAGATATCGATATAAAAGGAACGATGTACTGTTCATTTTTACCCAAAACGTTGGACACTAGCATGCAAAGATTAACGCTAAAACCGAGAGACCAACCTGTAAGTATGATGCATCAAATAGCAATGCATGTTTCTGCTGTAGCTGAATGACAGTCACCTGTTTCAGGCAGACTGGGCGAAAGAGAGACAGGCCTAGGAGTGGCAGACCTCCTGTCACCACCACCCAGGTTGGTTGTTGATTGGTTGGTTTGGTGTTTAACGCCACACTCAGCAATATTACAGCTATATGACGGCGGTTTGTAAATAATCGAGTCTGGACCAGACAATCCAGTGATTGACATCATGAGCATCGATCCACGCAATTAGGGATACGATCACAAACATCAACCAAGTCAGCGAGCCTGATCACCCGATCCCGTTAGTCGCCTTTTACGACAAGCATAGTCACCTTTTACGGCAAGCATGGGTTGCTGAAGACCTATTCTATCCCAGGAATCTTCACCACCAAGGAAAACGCTGAATACGTATCATTCATCAGAGGAATGACATTATCACTGCGACGTCAACAGCTGAGAGAGTCATCCTGTCAGTCGCTGGACAGGCTCCAGAAGACTGCATGGTTGTTAGACTCCGAGATGTTATGCTGACACTGCAACGCTGGTAAAAAAAGAATCTGGCAAAGAGTGATGCTCACAGGAGATACCAGATCCAAGCTTTTCAGAGAAGATGGAAGACTTTGTGTCAATTGCCGACGAGGAGAACGTTGTTGCATTCACGATGTCGAACCGTTTGGAGGTGGCAGCATCAATAGTCCTGCAATGTGGCATCATTTGTTCTACAATGCGGCATCATCGAGTTTGGGCGTACTTGGATTCCCGTAGTTGGTACACACAATACTGACTGACAAATGTGACATTCTGAAGGATTAAAGGGCATTCATGTGCTGATTTCAGTCTTGATGGTTGATCGAATACAGAACAACTGACCCCATCCTCCAAACAGTGGACACAATACCTTCATATTTGTTCTCATTCATGGCATAACTTGTAATGATGTTGAAATATAATTCTTTTCACAACACAATTATCTTCCTTGACATTGGTACTGTTTATAGGAAGAAACATTATTGGTTGTTAACATTTCCTCTTTCGTCAGTTTACGTTATTGCATTAAACTACTTTGGTTGACGTTATTGCATTGACACTTCTTTTCCAAGTAAGGGTATATTATCCTTAATGGGTATTTTACATCACAGTCAACAACTGTTTTACACAGCTGGAGTCACTAACATTGTCCAAGGATACGACACAGTGACTTGCATGACATAGCATTTGAAATGATAGTTAACAAGTAAGTGTTACAGGCGTACTGTCTATCTTGCTCATGAACTGATGTAAAAAATCATGACCTTGATCACGAAATACTCTGTATTGATGAGGATGGACACATTGCAGTCGAGAGTTTTTTATGAACACAAACTTATGACCTGTTTTTTTTAATAACAACACCATTAAGACTGTTACTGTTTCGAAGTTATAAGTAAAATTTATGGTAAGGGGACGTGCTTTGGAACCAGGATGAAAATACTCAATATTTATTTAAAAAAAATTTTAAAATATAAAGCCAGGAAAATATATCCGTTTTTATTTTTTTTTTGAATGACTTTATCATAATCACCACATATCCTGTGGTCTTGGACAGACGGGGGTTACAACATATATATTTTTTAATTAGGGTCGTATCAGACGTCGCCAGATGAATCTCTTGCAATAGGTCAAATTACTATTTTCCAGTATGCAGTCGCTGAGGTAATGGCCAAAGAACCCCTAAGATGCATTTGGAATTTGGGGAAACCTTCAACCAGCTTTAGTTTACAGGCTAGGATTCTTTGTCCATTTTTTCCCCTTTGCCTTTTTTGTCTGTATTGAGATTACTATTCACGGTGTGCACTTTCAGCAGATCACATACTGTTAGGGGTTTTCGACATTGGTGTTGAATTATACTCTGCTGAGAAAGAAACGCAAAAGCAGTAAACTCGTAAATAGAGTCTTTCCGATATCCATACAAAATACCAAAAATGAATTGGCCATATCTGTATGGCTAGAGATTGATTTGCACAGTGGACCAGCTAACAAACAAGTGAGTATTCAACAGTAGACTAGACACGTGAAGATCCAGGGTAGAATACGTCTTCAGCAACCCATGCTTGCCGTAAAAGGCGACTATGCATGTCGGTATCAGGTGGTCAGGCTCGCTGACGTCGTTGATGCATGTCATCGTATCTCAATTGCGTGGATCGATGCGCATGATGTTAATCACTGGATTGTCTGGTCCAGACTCGATTATTTACAGACCGCCGTCATATAGCTGTAATTATTAAACAGCGTTAAGTAATAAACAACAATAGACTGCTTCTCCCAAGTGATTTTTAATTTGTGAAATGGCTGCATTGACCCAAGAAGTTTTGTGGGTTCATGCTACCGATGTCCATTTCTTCTAGGTTTATTAATGTATTGTCAAGGCTGGTATGGGATAGATCGCCTTATATGCGGGGATATGAAAATATTGAAATTGTATATATACTCTCGTTTTTTGTTTAAATATACATACTCCATATCCGCCCCTCACCACGATTCATTCTGTATTATCGACCGTGATTCCAAATGGAGTAGGATCCTGTCGTTGATCTAGATACACAGTCAACCACGCACGCTAGAGAGGAAATCGCCCGTGAAGTCATAAAACGTGTCATCCTCCCAGCTGTGTTGAGGATGACAGAAGTCCTATGTAAAGTCTACGTCAATGGGTGAGCTAGAACATACATTTATAGCAGACATTGATTATTATTATGGACATGGAATAATATTTTGTCGCTTGTATTTCATTGCAGTCATTTGAAAACATAATTTGCAAGTCGGATAGTGTACGCTTATAGCTCAACAAATTGTTCTGAAACCTATTTACCGCGTCATTAAAATGCTTCCCACTTGGCTGTATTTGTTGTGACAATACATTCAGCCGTATAACATATGAGCCAATTGCAAGGACACAGCTCGTTTAAGTCACCCACACATGTACATACAGGCTCGCTTGGTATCCAAGCGGGTCAGTGTTTTTACAATCCTCGTGAAGCTTACCTTATCCAGAGAGAAGTTCACCGTTAGGCAGTAAGTAATTAGATACTATTAATCGCCCAAATGGTCCCCACTTTGAAGAGATTTCAACAGAAAATGAGTACTTGTTATGAAAAACCAGCCGGAGAGAAAGGTTGTCCCTTACACGTAAGCAACATGTCTTTACTTCAGACATAATTCACAATTATCATATCGTTTTAGTTTCAACAGTTAGTAAATACGCAGTCGTGTCACTGAATATTCTGTTCCATCGATCCTACGATTGTCTGGTTCGTTGACTTTGACGTCACATGTAGTGTAGCAGCCTGGGATGTGCATGCACTAGTAACTAAGTGATTGTTTAACGTCGCAGTCAACATTACTCCCCATCCCTGTGGCCTGTACATAACACACATACGTGATCACTAATAAAATGAAGGCGAACCGTTTCAGACAATAAGCTCGGCTTAAATAGGTCGCTCTTCTTTTTAAAAAAACTTTACTTTAAGTAAGACAGAGCTATTGTGACAGTGTTGTCCTGCTTCGAGCGAATATTGACACTATGCTGAGGCTTAATTAATACCCACATTGCGGAAATATGCAGAAATGCAGCAAAAGAGCTGGCAGTATAAAACATTTTGGTCGTTATCTCACCAGGCAGGGGAAGATTGTTATCTACAAAAGATTCATGTCACCAACTTATAATTACTGCCCCCTTATTTGTCACTTCTGATACAAAACCAGCACAACAGAATTGGAGACAATTTAGGCGAGAGCCCTTAGATTTGTTTATTTATTAATGTAAATCGCTTAAAAGACATAGCTCGAGAGAAGTATTCAAAATTATCACAAATTACATTGTTCTCCAAGTTACATTCAAAACGACCTGTTCCCTTAGACGACGTGTTGAGGCAACTGGGGGAGTTTGGCCCGTACCAGAAATGGCTGTACCTACTTCTGTGCCTACCAGCAATACCACAGTCTCTCCAGGTCATACAGACAGCAGTGTTTCTGTTTGCAGTTCCTGAACATAGGTATGGATATTCAGCGAAACATCTTAGATCTTGTCGGATTCTTATGGATGTTTCTAGCTTGTCTGTATCCCCTACATATGTCAGTCAGAGAGTAAGTTTATTTATTGAATGACGAAGAACACCTAAATTGTTATATAAGTGCTTCTATGTGTATGATCTGAGGGTACCAACACACATATTTTGCACGATGCTGCTTATACCGCAACCATTTTTAATTAAATTACAAGTGTATATTTTGTCCTGTGTACGTCTGTGAAAAATTCGTTTATGGCTTCACAGTATCATTGAAATCAGTGCTAAGTGTTGCACAATTCTTGATAAAAATATACACAACAGCTAATCATTTTCAATTGGGGACAAAATTACCATATTTTCTTCAAAGGGGCACAGACATAAGACCTGCATTAGTTGGATAAATTGGATATATCGATTGTTATAAACTACACTATAGAGGTATTACAGAACACACATAAAACGTTCTGTTAGCAATAGCACTATAAAACTATACTGATATCTATTCTCACATATTTGTGTACAGTAATGCAATATATACTGAACCGCAAACGAAACGTCTCCATGGATAGATATATGAGAAACCTTATTTGTCCAAACACTATAAACATTCTTTGAGACATATTAAAAAGATGAAACTTGGCAAAACTGATCATCAAGGTTGAAATTAAAGTGTCAAATGTTCTTTAAGTGAAACACAACTCTAGTCTCTGAGAAAATGGCATCACAAGTCAGTATCTCGTGTGTCCGCCTTGTGCATTGATGACTGCCGTGCAACGTCGATACATGGAATGGATGAGGCAGTTGATGAAGGCCATAGGCACTTGAGCCCGCACTCTCAGGAACGCCTGACGCAGTTCAGCTGCAGTTGTCGGCCTTGATCGGACGTCATCCAACGGTCTTTGAATCTCATCCCACAGGTGATCAATGGGATTTAAATCGGGACTGAGGGCAGGCCACTGCATGATTTTGATGCCATTCTGCTGGGGGAAGTCTCTTGTTGCTCTCGCAGTGTGGGCACGGGCGTTATCATGCTGAAACTCGTGGTTGCGGCGACGTGCCAAATGCGATATAACGTGTGGTCTCAAGACTTGATAAATGTACAGAGCTGCTGTGACACCATTGCCTCTCCCTGGACCGATGTTCTGGAAGACCACAGGGCCGACCCTCTGTCTAAGACCAATTCCACCCCACACCATGATGTTCGGACCACCCCACAGTCTCTCTGAACAACACAAGCATCCGAATAGCGTTCCCCACGGCGACGCCAGACACTCTCTCTGCCATCTGCAGTTGAGATACAGTAACGGATCTCTTCTGAGAAGAGGACTCTTCTCCAATGCTGGTGCTGTGTTGCCCGCTGAAGACGGTCCCAGCGATGACGTGGTGTCCTCGGTGTGGCCTGTGACAGCGGATGTGTCTGCTCGTCAATCGTCGACGCACGGTGTCCGCACTAATGTGTCGCTGGTGTGTCTCCATGGTCTGTCGAGCAGTTTCCGCAGCAGTAACAAAGCGATCTTGAAGATGCTGTCGCACAATCTTACGATCCTGACATCGGGTGGTGACCCGTGGTCTTCCACTACGTGGTCGGTCATCTGTTGTGTTTGGGCGATCGGTTTTATTGTCATCTGCTTTGTTTTTTTATCATCCAATTTCATTTTTCCGGAAAATGTAATGTTAAATTTTAGAAAATTTGACAAAAATTACCAGGATATTTAAATGACAACTCTTCGTGCAATGTTACTTGAGGTGACGTTTCTTTTACAGTTCAGTATATATACATGTATATATGCTGGAACGTCTCGTAATCACACTACGAGGTATTATTTTCCGTAACTATATGTTCTTTTGTGTATGCCTTTGCATGTTTAAATGGACACTGACTTCGGCGATTCCATGAAGCGCTGAGCAGTGATGTGAATCAATATGTGTCTGCATCATACTGATCCTAATTGTTACGCGCAATTACATATAGAATTGATGGCTCGACAAGCTGACACATGGTCATATTGCTGCAATATATAGAACAGCTGTTCTCTTTCCTCATCCATGCCCCTGTAAAATTTGCATTTAAAAAAACTTCAAACTTACTCCGTTTATGCTGTCAACTATGTATATGTATGCGCCCAAATTGATTATTACCTTGCCAACTTAATAAAAGTTAGGTAACATGTTGACGGTTACATAACACTCACTATGATGTTTCTAATGACAGGTGTGCTATTCCAGGATTTGCCAATGACACCTACAAAGTTCAGAATGACCTTCACGAACAACTCGTAAACCGCTCCATTCCCATGACATATGGATACTATGGTGACGAAAAGTATTCCCAGTGCCAACTGTATCGACAAACCAATACCTCCAATGTGTGGTCGTCCACAAGAAATATCACAGAACCCTGTAATGCCTGGGTGTACGATCAATCACAGTTTATATCCACAGTTTCAGAGACGGTGAGTTGTAACCAAGCATAGTCGCCTTTTACGGTAAAGCATGGGTTGCTGAATATCTCCTCTACCCCGGATCTTCACGGGTCAATGAGTCAAGTATGTAATTCGTGTATCCGCCATATGGTGAAGTGAAGAGAGATGAAATGGGTTTTAACATTGCATGCAAGATTATTTCACTCATACAGCGACGTCACTGCAAAAAAAATCCATCTATACAAGCTTGTATATGCTTTGGAATGATGATATATACAAAAATATACAAGTTTGTATATATGACATATCCCAAATATACAATTTTGTATATATAATGTATCCAAATTTGTTTTCTTTGTATACATGTATATTGGTAAAGGGAGATAATTGTTATGTTTTCGTGTATAGTTATTATATATGTGCAAAATGAAGTGTTTTAAGTTGAGCATTGTGTTTCTTTGTATATGTTGGTAAAGGGGGATAATTGCTATGTATTGTTCTATAATTGTTTTGTATGTGCAAAATAGTATTAGCAAGTTACAAAAAAACTGATATAGTGGCGTGTAACATTACTGGAATGTTTAATTAGCACTCCACACTGTTAGCGGAAGTACATACTCCCCTTGCAATGATATTGACGGGTAAGCGATTGAGGCATCTGGTACTTTTCCTTGCGCGGTGCTTGGTATGTGAGTAGACTTTATGGTCAAATGCACAGAGAGGATTAGCTGTCGGGGGTGATTGCATTGGCCGTGACTTCTGTATTGAAAGTGTTGAAATCGATTTGTGCTGAGCTTGAATTCGTTTGTACGGGGAGGCCGCGATGTGATTTGTAACATGCTCTCGTGCACATAGCAGATTAGCCAACAGAGTGGATTGCACAGAGGATGAAAACTATTTTATCATTACTTAAAAGTGTTGAATTTGGTTTGTTCTGAGCTGTCGATTTAATTGTAGGGTATACATTGTTATAATGTCAAATCTCGGCGGGGCGCGGAAAATCGCGTTTTTTAAAACGGCAGTCCTTGGAAAAATCCTCTTCAAAATATCATCAACGATTCTTATTAAAATACTCCGAAAATATCGTGTTGCCGGACAACCGTGGCGGATTGTCCTGTTATCGATCAGAGCTTTCAGCATCATAACACAATCATGGGATCTTAGGTACACATTATACGTTTTCTATCATGAATACTTGCACTATAACGGGGGGGGGTGGCGTCACACAGAAATTGTTAATACTCCAATGAAGACCTTTTTTTATGATAAAGTTGTCTTTTATAAGTGAATGAGATGTTTTACAGTTGTTCATGTGAAAAAACTATGAATGTTTATTCAGCGTCCGAAAACCCATAACACGGGGATATATGTTGTATTAATGTCTTATGTTTTACAAAGGTAAGTAAGTACAAAGGTAAACTGCACGTTTGTGGCAGTATTGCTCCCAGGTGGCCGGGTGCGTGGAAGCTATTCCCGATTTTTTTAAAGTACTGATTTAACCTCGAAATTTTACTGCATCTTTGTTTATTTGACTTTTGCCACTGTTACATTTGTTGGTATGAATATTGTCCAAACGGCATGAAATTGTTTAACATGCATATCAAATGTTTAAAACATTTCTGGGGGCTCAGCCTAATATCGTTAGCAAAGTCAACAAACTACAACCGTAAATGTAATGTACAACAGACGCAAGAATATTTTTTAAAAATACAAATGATAAGAAGTCGAATATAAATACTTATACCTCTCCTTTTTAGAACAAGAAATTGACACATTGACGTATTCAGATTAAATTGGTATTTTCTTTAGTTATGTAAATGCAAATGATAAAAAGAATATTCATCAGTGAGATACTCTGTCTATTGCGCAAAGAATCCAGTCCCAATGAAAGTGAACAGCATGCCGATGTTATACAAAGCAATCATATGATATATCGCAACTGATAGTGACGGTCAACATAATGACGTATCAGTGGGCACATCGTGGTACATTGTATTTGAAGATAAAAAAAGGATAACACATGTCAGCAGTCTAGGAAGTTATACACGGCATCTTGACAATGAACAAAAAGAAGAAGAAGAAGAGTTTATTAAAGTGTCACTATTTAAACAACCAACCATTTTGGCTTACGAGACAAAATACACATCACACCCCCATAGAAGTACCACAAACACACACATCCGCAAATTCAGTCACTAACCCACCCACATATATTACGTTCCACACCACACCACACCTTCTTCATGTCAGGGAATGGGTTTTTGGATGGTGGTCAACTGACACGTCTTGCCTTAGGGGAAGCTGCTGTATGTACTGTCCAGCTTCTTCATGTATGTCTCATCTGCGAGCCTCTTCGCCATCTGCAATTTCGTCGACTCGCAGTTCTTTGGAGGACATCAACTGAGCTATCTCTAATGCGTACCTCTGTTTCTTCTGGACGGGAAGGTCGCGATGGCGTATCCCGAGGACTCGGTTACGACTCTTCTGAAGAAAAACAACAACTTTATTAATAATTGCATTTCAAATTTATAATGCATATGCATGCATATCCGTGTACATGCTCATGAGCAAAGGAGGAAAATATGTGAAAATCAAATTTATTCCGATAAGCCTTAAGCAACGTGTCAGTATTATAGCATGATTAGTGTATTAGAACAACACTATTTGTGAATGGTAGGTGCTACCGGTGGTGTTGGGTATGCTTACCCTTTTTGAAGATCCACTCTTTGTAATTCGACATCAAACGGATTACATCACACTCTAAGTAAAGAATCTCATTTAACCCTTAATTAGTTAATGAGTCTGATTAACCTGCAGTATACTGTATCACTTAGTACTGCCTTAACGAGGATTAATCCCCTGTCAGTTGTTGGTGAGTGATCTATCAATGTCTGGAGAAAGGGATTAGCCTTAGTCACAATAAAAATTCCACACTGAGATTATCGATCATTATACCTTTATAAGAAAGTGAGAAAGATACAGATTGAATGATACATAACGGGCCGTGCCTGCATTATATAGCCTTCAAGAATCTACACTTAAATAGCTTGTGAACAAATAGAGAATTAATTTCAATTATACACTATTCAACTGCTAAGTATATGAGAAAGTGTTGAAGTAGCATTAGATATGTTTGAGATTACAGTTTTCAATTAACTGTATAATGTACCTTGCTGTCCTTGTGAGAGTCAGTGTCTGTAGAGCTGGATTGGTCTAACTGGTATTCACTGGGACACAAATATTGGTTACTAGCATTGTATTGTGAGCTGGTATTCACTGGGACACAAATATTGGTTACTAGCATTGTATTGTGAGCTGGTATTCACTGGGACACAAATATTGGTTACTAGCATTGTATTGTGAGCAGCCGGATGCGTAAATAATATGTAATATATTTCCGTATTATATTTTATAGTACTTGTTGTTTTAATATTGTTTATAACAGAGAGAACGAAGATTTTTTTTTAAAAAAACCACAATAGCAGGCATATGTTCTAGCAAAAGGAAACTTGATAAATATTCATTTTGCTTAATTTCTACTTTGGAAAACTTAGTTGGCGCTCTGAAAGCTTGACGCTGTATAATTTGGCACGCGCATGGTTGGATGCAAACCGTATGTTTAATTCTCGCAAATTAAGACACCAGCGGCGGTATTGGAGCATATATCTCATGTCATTCAATATACTATTAGAGTAATACATCAAGATGGCAGTTTCAATGTAAAGATTAGGTATTTCTAAAGATATGGAAAATAAATCTTGATAACTGTTTTTAATCTTTGATCTTTTGGGAAAATAATAGTGGAACTGGTTGAGTGACTGACGTATTCTACATTAAAAGTGACAGGGACGTGATTTACATAATTTAAATATAAAATAATCTACACAGTGATACAATTATAAGTGAGAGTTGTGATTTATTTAGGAACGAAGTCAGTATTTGGGGATTTAACTTGCGCTTTCCGACATTATGCGTATTTCGCACACGATTAAGAAATAAATGTAATTCATTTATTTATACGAAGTACGAATGCATCAATCCTACTTCACAGGACTCAGTGGCCTGTCCTTATTTCGCCTACACCTCATTTCGCCTACACCCTTATCAAAACAAATTTACAGCTGACTGCACATAAGTCAAGTGCTGTGTTACCTCTAAAATAATGAACTGACCCAAAAGAAGGTTAAACAGACAAGACAATCTTGAAGCTTCATACATTGTTTAATAGCTGATATTTGCATTATGCAGTAATAATAATAATGACTCATGATTACTGTAGCTTTAGGGCATATCCAACGGCATCAAGAAATTGCATTACAGTTAAACAGACAAGACAATCTTGAAGCTTCATACATTGTTTAAAAAGCTGATATTTGCATTATGCAGTAATAATAATAATGACTCATGATTACTGTAGCTTTAGTACATATCCAACGGCATCAAGAAATTGCATTTCAGTTTTTCCTCCACTAAGAAGCTGTGTCTTTAGTCTCCCAATTCTTTCGTCCCTTTGTCTGTCAACACGAGCTCGGGGTCTGCATGATCCTCCAAGATCAATTTGTTTCCTGGAGCGTCTGTCTGCCTTTTCAATCTTCTTGATCTCCTTCAAGAACTGATAGATGTTAGGGTGAGATCGGGGCATTCTCTTTTTCAGTCCATAGTGGAACCCTTCCAGATGGTTGTTGGATCGGGGACCGGTGTTGTCGTGCTGGTTCCAAATATGGCAGGGGAATCTAGCGTCGTCATCTACCCATGTGCTGGTGACATAATCGTTGAAATCACCGATCTGTTGATCATCAGGTCCTTGCTCCATCACCTCAACCCATGCATTCTGTACCTGGTCAAGTGGGAGAAGTTGCAGGGCTGCGGCACGTCGAACATGGGACTGAATTGATGGATTGTTCGTGTATTCTCGTACAAGACCTCTCTCAACTACCTGACGCCACAAAGCTTGTGAATAGTGAAACAGACAACCCCTCACATAACTATCAGGAAAAACCTCTGCAATGGCACTTATGACTGCTGACTCG